CTTTATTTTTTTTTTTTAAGATTTTTAAAATTTATTTTCAGACAGAGAAGAAGGGAGGGAGGAAGAGAGGGAGAGAAACATCAACTGGTTGCCTCTTGCTCACCGCCAGGTGGGGACCCAGCCCGCAACCCAGGCGCGTGCCCTGACCGGGAGTCAGCGCCAGCCTCACAGGTTAGAGGCCGGTGTCAGTCCTGACTGGTGAGCCGCACCAGTCAGGGCGGTAATTACCTCTAATTTTAAAGATAGTTTATCATTCCTCAATCTTAAGACTATCATTCTGGCTTTTTTTTAAAACTAAATGAAATGTAAGTACTTGCATTCAGAGCCAGTGGATATTTCCCATAGGCCATTCTAAAGTAGAGACACACTGAAATGGGTGTATTTTATTGTTTGTAAATTATACCTTACAGTTGATTAGAGAAATTTGCTGAACTACATACTTAATATGTGTGCATTTTACTCTGAGTATACCTCAATTTTAAAATCTGTATTTAAAAAACTATTGTGTAAACACCTCTTAATTTTTCCCTTTATTTAAATGACTTATCCAAGTTTTACTTTCTCTCTCTCTCCAGCACCAAAAAAGTATGTGTTAATAATCCTTTGGCTGAATTGGATCACTTGCACACCACTTTGGGTATTTGGGTGCTTGTTTACCTAGTATGTGGTAGTGTATCCATATTAGTAATTATTTCTTCCATCGTTACCCAGTCACACCAGCTGGACTGACAGATTCACAAGGCAGAATTTGTGTCTATCGCCGAATGCTTCCAAGTAACATGTAGAACAACATGCTTAAGACTGATTTTCATTCCTTAAAGTTGTGTCCTGTGGCATTTCCCTGAAAGCTTAATCTCATCTATCAAAGATGTGATGTATAGGTTATTATAGATTAATGTGTTTAATCTCAGTAGGTTTATAATCTATCATCACGCTTTTAAATTATTGGCTTATCTCTAGCATGAGTAAAAAAGTCCTCCCAGCCATTTTGTAGGTTTTTAAGTAAGTAGAATAGTAGGATGTGGACATTTTTAAAAACTTTTTAATCCAAGTTAAATACGCACATGGCTGAAGAGGTACGACAGCACCAGAACAGGTCCATGATAAGATCCAGGTGCTGGCTGGCCCCCCCCGCCCCCCATGCCCTTCCCCACCATCTTCGACTCTCGAGCTCCTGGTGCTAGCTCGTGTGCATCCACATCTCCGAGGGACGTGTTTGAATCACTGATTTAGGCCTTTGTCAAAGTAAATTTTCTTTTCTTAAACAGCCACCTCCCGCTTTTCCTCCCCTTTGCTTCCCCTCACCGCCCTCCCGACACGGTGCACTGTCCAGTGAAACCAGCGCTGCTATGTTCTTCGCCTATGGCAGTCCCGGGGAGTGTTGTGCCGTGGTGCTTCCTTCTGGAAAATTTTGCTGCACTTAATAACTGCCTTGTGCTTTTCATTTGCATTAGTTTTCTTTTTTTCTATCCATTGCTAATTCTTCGCAGACCTTCTGGTAGCCTCAGAACAATTTTCCACAAGGTCACTTAGAGCTGCGTGTTAGAAACACAATGCAACCCTTATACAAGGTCTGTCCAGAAGGTATCCAGCCGTGCAATATGAAAAATAGAGACACTTACTGAACACGGTACAAAATACAAGAAACGCACACAGGACAGTGACGCCTCAGCCCCCTTCAGAGCAGGCACCTGGGGACCCCTCGCAGTTCTCCCGTTCACCATCAGCTGCCCCGTCGTATTTTCCTGAACCTCACTGATGGTCTGAAGTCTCTTCCCATTTTAGTTTTGGGAAAAGCCCGAAGTCATGGGGCGCCAAATCTGGGCTGTAAAGAGGCTGAGTCACCTGGGTGATTTGATGATATTTGATGCCAAAAAACTCTGCACGAGATGTGATGCATGAACAGGCGCGTCGTCCTGATGAAGCAGCCAGTCGCCAGTTGCCCAGAGCTGCAGCCTTCTGAATCATCCGAGCGGTTTCCACAGAGGAAGGTTCAAGCTTAACGCAAAATCTGATGCAGATTTGTTGCTCTGCTCACTCAGTCATCTTGAATGTGACGGCCACACAGTACCCACGCTCACTCAACAGTGTCTACGGCCCCCACTGACTAGTACAGTGAAGTCGTCATTGTTCATACCTGTGCATTCCAGTCCGCTCTCCTTGGCTGCCAGGTTACATCAGTATTGCACAAACCATTTTCATTACATTAACAATGGCTAAACTTTTTTCCGGACAGACCTTGTATATAATCTTACCTTTTCTAGCAGTCACCATGAAAAAGTTTAAAAGAAGCAAATGAAATTAATGCATTTGACTTATTTAATATGTTCATTGTGTCATTTCAACAGATAATATTTAAAATGCCTGAGACATTTTACTTCCCTTTTTTTAGCACTGAGTCGTCAGCACCCGGTGTGCGTTTCCTACTCCATGCAGCCTCTCTGTTCAGCCTGGCCATGCCCCCAGCGCTGTCGGCGGCCGTTGTGGGACTGGTGGCCGCTGTACTGCGTAGGGTGCGTCCCATCCGGGCGACCACTGTTCAGCGTCCCTGCAGACCCCATTCTCCTGCTCTCCGGCGCCACTGGGCCCGGGGCCTGCCACGCGCAGCCGAGTCATTGTGAGGCTCCCTTTGCTTTTCTTCTCGATGGGATTCCCTCTCCGTAGACTTCAGGTCTTTCCCTCACTTCTCTCTGGTCCTTTAGGTCACAGTTGTACACGGACATGGTGTTGATACATCCGTCTCTGAGTTTTAATCTGGCCTGCGTGCCTCCCAGGTCTGCACGTGGGCGCCGCCCTGGGCGCTCCTCCTCCCACGGTTTCTGAGTAGATTTCCTTCGCCTTTGCTCTTATGTCAGATTTGTTTCCCCTGTAAATCTTACGTCTTTCTGTTGGATTTATCTCCCCTCAGGTAGGAAACACGCTCCAGTGGACTGCTGGGCGGTGAAGTCTTTGAGGTCGTGCATATCTGGAGATGTTCTCAATGTCCTTTCTCCCTTGATTATTGGGGTATATATCGAATTCTAGGCTAGAAATCATTTTTCTTCAGAATTTTGAAGGCATTGCTCCATTGTGGTCTAGCTTTCAGTGTTCTCCTGGCAAAGTCAGAAGCCATTCTGATCACCTTGCCCTTTGAAGGTCATCTGTCTTCTTCTTCCTGGAAACTGACAGCGCTCTCTTCGCAGGATGCTGGAATGACGAGTCAGTGCCCCCCAGTGCGGGTCTGCTCTTATCTCACGGTGCGCGCTCGATGGGTCTGGAAGATTCTCTTCGAACTGTTTTTTGATGGGTTTTTTTGGTGTGTGTTTTGTTTTGCCTACTTTTTCTATTGTGGTTGCTTTTTTGTTTGTTTGACTTTACTTTCTGAGAAAACTTCTTCTGTCTTTATCTTCTGACTCTTTAATGAAGCTTATCATTTTTGCTATCTTGTTTTTAAGTTCCAGGTGACATTTTTGTTTATTTTATGTAACATCCTGTTCTTAATTCATGGATACAATATCTTATCTTTCTGAGTATATTATCTTTTCTTATCTTTCTTAGTACATTAGTATGTATTTTTAAAGCTTTCTTTTCTCTGCGGTTTATTAAAACAGGGATTTTTCCTATTTATTGTTTCCTTCTAAGTCTCCTTCACACTGGAGGCTGTCCTCGTGCACCTTGTCACTGGCGGCTGTGCTCGCACGATGACGAGCTGGAGCTTGCAAGGCCACTCGGGGGCTCTGAGCAGGTGGAGGAGGCTTGTTGGCGCTGTTCCGGCCCCCGGGCCTTCAGGGGGGGTGTCTGTTGCACACTGTGGGGATGGTATCCTTTGGGCTTGACCCTTCTGCATCCTGGAGAGCACTCTGCCTCCTGATGCATGTTCTCCAGAAAACCTCCAGATCTCTGCAGACTCCTGAGGCAGCGGTCTCTGGGCGGCCGGAGGGGAAGCAGGGGCTTGGAGATGCTGCTCCTTTGGACAGCTCCACCCTCGACAGACTCCCCTGCAGTGAGTCCCGCCCCCTTTCCAGAGGCAGCCCCACTGAGCCTTTGGAGGGTTCTGCGGTGGAAACCAGGGTGGTTCTCTGCTTCCCTCCCTGCTGCTGCCCTGTGAGTCCTGCCTGCTCCTAATCGGTCTGATTTCCAGCTTTCAGAACTCTGTGCTGTTTGCCTCTCCCCTGTTCTCCCTTTGTGGGTTTTTTTTTTTAATTGTAAAATATACATAACAAAAATTTACCATTATAGCCATTTTTAGGTGTACAGTTTAGTGGCATTAAGTGTGTTCACATTGTTGCGTGGGTTTGTCTTTTAATAATAAAATACAAATAAAAAAGGAAAGGTTTTTGAATGCGGTTATGGTGGTGTCTTAGGGGGGAATGATTGGACGTGTGTCGTCAGCCTGTTGGGAGGTGTGAGGCAGGTACTTCTTTCTGACATTCGGATGTCATGGGATTTGTTTCCCGTCTCCTAGGAGAGCAGTCGGATGGGTTACCGGCATATAGTGCCTTTTATCTTCTCTTAATAACAAACAGCACCTTTGTAAAAGTTACAGGTGGAACCTGCAGGCCTGACGTTCAAGGCTCTCCAAGGCCCGGCCCACCCACCTGTGTGCTCTGGCCGTCTGTCATTCAGCCCCGCTGGCCCACTCACTCCCTGGTCCTTGCACTAGATGTGAACTTCAGCCTTGTGCCTTTGCGAGCTGGGTGTTCTCGCGTGGGGTCCCCCCGCAACCCACACACATGCCTTCTATCTCCTTGCCCTCTGCCCCGTGCGTCCAGCTCCCGGCCCCGCGCCACTTCCTCGTACGCTAGGCCCGGGGCTGTTCCTCTTCCCTTTTCCTCTCGTGACCTTGCACATGCCTCTGAGTCGTCACCTTGAGTTTCCCACACAGCCTGGCTCCCTTTGATGTCTGTTTCTGCGCTGGGTCTCCCTCAGCACCTGGCACGTCGCCCACACTCGGTTCAATGTCTGGATGAATTCCTGATGCCAGCAATTTCAAAAGAGAACTCTTTATCCTTCTCTCGCAGGATATCCGACACAAAGCCAGTGACTTCCCGTGCCGAGTGGCCAAGCTTCCCAAGAACAAAAACCGAAACAGGTACAGAGATGTCAGCCCCTGTAAGTATTCATATCACCGTTACCAGCCTCCCTGTTTCTCTTGTGGGTTCTTCTCAACTGCAGGGCCTCCCAGTCGAGACTCCTTTCGCCCTGGGGTTTGGTAATAAAGCAACAGCAGTAAGGGTTTATGACTTGATTGTTTCCTATAACAAAGACATTAGAGACTTATAGTAACAGTTCGTTTTTCCACCATTGTAGAAGGGTCAGGTTTCAGTTTCTGGAAAATGCAGCTAAGTTCAGAGCCCTTTTTTTAGTTTTGACTATTTTTCTGATGAATCATTTTCCTACCAGCTGAAGCAGGGTAGAGCCGGCATAATATAACCTTTTCTGGGTGACTCAGCAGCGGTATTCTTAGACCCCGAACCTCACATTGAAGTGTAAGGGTGCCCTGTGCAGGGTGCAGGCATTCAGGGGTGGGAGCTGTTCGCCCCTCCGCGAAACACTGGAGGCAGCTCCGCGTGTCCGGTCCCCCCCGCCCTCCGCACTGCCGCCAGCATGTTTCCAGCTCTTTCCTGCCTGAGCCCTCGGTCTGCCTGCTGGCCCCTGGCGCCTCCTCTGCCTCCTGCGCACTCGGCTCTCCGTCTGCCGATACCCTTGAGAGTAAATAAGTAAACACGTCAGAGTGTGTGTAAAGCAAGACGTGCTGGACTGAGTAAAGAGCGCGAACCTCGCCACCTCCTGTCGGCCACCGAAGCCTCTGGGGCTCACCGCCAGGGTTTTTAGACCCTGCTGGTCAGTGCTGGCCGCAGCTGCCCACACCCCCTGCGGCGGTCTCCTCTGCCAGGGGAGAGGACCCTGTGGGTCGTCCCCCAGACGGGCACTTCCTACACGTGCCCTGGAGCGCACTGCCCGCCTGGCTGTGGGCGGTGGCTTTCGGCGCCCTCTGCGGGAGAGCCGGCAGTGCCTCCCGCCCTGAGCTGCGCAGCCCAGGTTCCTGGGCGGGGATCGGAGACGGACCCAGATTGGTACAGAGCGGTCTGCCTCTGACGGCTGCCACGCTGCCTGCCCGGGTCTGCGTCCCGGCCGCCACTTAAAGCTCGGCGCCTTTGGGCACGCGGGTTTCCTCTGGCCGCCGGTAAAGCAGTAGTCACGCCGATCCTGCTGGCTTGTGTGAAGATGAAATACAGCGACGTCAGCCGTGGAGCTCATCGTTAACTGAATGGAGGCACGTGCTAGCTCACCGGTGACAGATGGCCGCGCACCAACCCCTGCGCTCTCGAGGCAGCACGTCGAGGCCGTGGCACGGCAGAGGGTCTGCACTTCTAGAAGGACTGCCCGGGGCGGGGGGTTCTGCTGCGGGGTGCTGGCCGGCGCCCTGAGCGTGGAGGAACTGCGCATTGCGTGCATCTCTCGGCGGTGCCGGGAGATGCTGTGGTCTCCAGCTTTGCTGGACTTGCTCCGAGTCAGTCGGCAGTGTGCTCAGTATTCCTCATCTGCGTCTGTGATCAGTGCTCATCCGAATGATTTATGAGCCAGTTTTACGGAGGAAAAAAAGTATCTAAAACATTCTTCCAGGGAAACATTCCTAAACATTTCTACCCGCAATCTCACTTCTCACATTTTTTCCTGTTTCCCCTACCTCCACTCCCCAGTAGAAGAAGTAATGTGCATTTAAGGTTATAGGGGAACTGGGGAAAGGGCCAAGGTGGAAGGGATCTTGTCACCTTCCACTTGGCCAGTGGAAGCCCCGGCGCCCCGAAGAGGAGCTCTGCCCAAGGCTGCCCAGTGCCGTGTGAACCCGCCCACAGAGCCTACCAGGGCCACTCACCTAATATTGTCGAGACCTTTTATCTGCACGATCCACGTACATGTCACCAAGGCATTTCAGTTTGCATTAACCCTCCACAACGAGAAACCCTATTCCAAATACTGGCTAATTTTCAAAGACATCTCCTGGAAATTCTTAGAGCAGAAAGCCCCAAACCACTGATCCCTGCTGACTTGCCCTGTCCTGTAGGCCTGGGGGGAAGGTACTGCTTACGGGTGGTCGCCTCCGTCCATCACTCTTTGCCTGGTACCAGGAGTAGTGGTGCTCATCTGCCCTTGTGAGCTGCACTGGCGGGACCGGGAAAGCGGCCCTGGGGGAGCCGTGGTTGCTGTGACAAAGTCACGGTCAAAGGGGAAAGGGCAGCTCTGTGTTTTCACTAACCTGGGCAGAGCTTCCAAATGAGACTTTATTTTTAAAACTCTTCTGCCAGTTCCATTGAATACAGTTTCAGTGTTTTGGACTCAAAGTTACCTTTTTCAGGTAAACTGTCTTTTAAATGTTTTTGATCATGACAGAGTCTGACTTTGAAAGATTTAGACTCATTTAAGAACGTTATGCTTGAACTTTAAAAAATAACCTTGTGTAAACAAATTCAGGCTGTGACTTTTCACACTGTTGTACACTTAGGTCGTTTAATCTTTAAACCTTTAGAGGTAGGTTAAGTTGAGGTGTGCTTGTAAATCCTACCTATAAAAGTATATATACGGGGGGGCAAAAGTAGATGTACAGTTTGAGTACACGAAACAGTTTATTCCTGTATTGTTTATTGTTTTCCATATGAACAACTGTCAACCTACCTTTGCCCCACCCTGTATTAGGCATCAGAAAACAGATCTCTTGAGGTCCCCTCCCCAGCCTGCCTAGTTGTGAGGACGGCAGGAAGTGTCATGGGAAGGTCCGGCCTGAGAACGGCTCTCCCAGATGGGACACAGTCCGTGTTTTAGTGCGGGCTGTCTCCGCTGTTGTTCAGCACTACGTTTCAGACACTCCAGAAACCTTGCTGAAAGTACGAGCTATGCCCGTATCCATGCCGGACCTCGGGTTATAAAGCACAGCCTTGGCCCCTGTGAATGCCCTTGGCGCCCCCCCGACCCCACCCGCCGCCTTTGCTTTCCCTGGGGGCACATCGCCTGTGCAGACACTTGGGTCGCCCGGGACTAAATCTGCGTGCCGGTTTGCTTTTCAGTTGACCACAGTCGGATTAAACTACATCAGGAAGATAATGACTACATCAATGCTAGTTTGATAAAAATGGAAGAAGCTCAAAGAAGTTACATTCTTACTCAGGTAAACCCAGGATCGTCTGAGTTTTTCTTTTTTAATGTTCCCATCAGCTTGTGGCATCTTTATGCAAAGAATCAGAAAAGTAGTTTAATAATTGGTCTTCCTGTGAAACATTTACTGGTATATGACCCCAAAACAATGGGTATCTGGGAATGGGGATAAAGGAATTTCTTTTTTATCAATTTTCTCAAGTCTTAATCTGTTACCTATAAAGTGGTCTAAACAGTCTAAGTTTCTTTCTTTTTGTTTTCTAATTCCATATAACCCATGGCTTTGGGTTATAGGGTGAGTTTGAACATCAGAATTCTGCCTAATATTTGGAAATTAAAATGATAGTGAGCCCAAAAGCGCTGTGAACAAAGGGTTGCTTTGGGCCATGGAGCTGGAGGAGGGCGTATGCGCTGTGGCCCTTCTTCCCCGCCCCTTTTTGTCCTGCCCCTGTGCCCCTTGTCGTCCCTGTGCCCCTTGTCCGTAACCAAGTCGGCCCGGACGCTTCCCGGTCGCTTCGGAGTGTCCACCACGCAGTGTCCACCTCTGCGAGGCTGTGGAGTAAGTTCTCAGTGTGTGAGTAGGGGGCAGGCCTTGACCCAGCACCTCTGGGGCGGTTGGGGAGGGCTGGGCTGGGGTGATACGGAGGGAAACCCCTGGTGGTGGCAAGCTGGTGAGCAGAGGTTGAGGCAAAAGTGGTTTCTTGGGAACTTGTCTTTGTAGAAGAAGTCAAGTCTTACACCCTGAGTTCAGCCGTTCAACTTTGGTGTGGGGTCACAAAGCCCAAAGCAAAGACAGGTAGGGTGTATCGAGTCAGATGGAGCAAGGAGATCGCCATGGGAACATCTGCGCCCTTCCTTCTCACCCCCACGCCCTGGCGGTTACTTGGCACGCCTGGAGCTCTGTTGTTGGGGGCACCATGGACGTATCCAGCTGCGGACATGGTCCCCCTCTGCCCTGGGGTTTACAAAAGGGACAGAAGCAGCCCGAACCCAAAAGTTGCACCTCTAGGTGTTATGACTAAAACATTTTCCAAGCCACAAAACCCTGCCCACTTTTTATTTTCATTTTCATTATGCGACTAATACAAGTCTTCTTAAAAACCAGAGGTACGGAAATGTAAAGAGCAATGCTGCCTTCACCTCCCACAGCAAGTGTTGGCTAAGTCTGGTGTGTACCCTTTCAGATCTTATGTGGCATTTAATCCCTCAGACCCATTCTACGCTGGGGTGGGGTCCTCGTGCCCAGGTCAGAGGATGAAAGGCTCAGGAGGCCCCTTTCCTATTAGTTGGGAGGAAGATCTTGCACATGTAACCCTGCTGTCTGAGACCCGCAGCACGTGCGTGGATGTGCAGGCTTCCGGCTCACACAGCGAGGCTGGGGCGAGTTCAGGGGAGAGCGAGAACACTGAGGGTTTGCGTGGGCAAGGAATGTGTGAGACGCCAGGGCAAACACGTAAAGGACACGGGGGGTTTGGGTGAAAGTAGGTGAGAAGGGAAACCATCCCGGTGCTGGCTGGAGGAGATGATGACGCGTTCTGACAGGGAGGTCACAGGCGATGCCCCCCCCAGGCCTTACTAAACACTGGGACAGACTCGAAGCATCTGCAGCCTGGTAGCCAGTAAACATCTCTGCCATTGCCGGGCGGGCTAGAGGGAGGCAGGCCAGCCGCTTGGCAGTCACCCCACCACGCCCCGGTGACACCATGTCTTTTGGGCCACCTGACTGACCGTTAGTGTGTCTGCATCCTCGGTCCAAGGATGAAGGCTGTCTGTGGTCAGGTGCACCGTTATTAATAATAATGACAGCCAATGTTTTAGTGGTGGTTTACCATGTTCCAGACACGGTGGGAAGGCCTTTATGCATGAGAACAGAGTCAGGTTTCAGAACCCTCTGCGCAGATGCTGTGGGTAGTCAAGTGAGACCGTTGGAGGGACTGAGGCATGAGCGGCGAAGTGACTTGTCCACGGTCACACGGATGAATGGCTGGAACTGGAACCACCGGAGCATCACCGCTGATCACTTCCAGCTGCTGCCTGTGGCCTGCAGTGGTGTTTTCACCCAGTCTCTCTATTCCACCCACCCTTAGGGGTGGGTCCCAGTAGGGCCAGCCCCTTGGCCAGCCAGCCCGAACCAGAAAGCAGAGTCAGCGCCTTTCTCTCCTCTGCTGGTCAGCCCTGCACCAGCCCTGCGATGCGGAAATGACCTTTCACCACGTTTTAGAAAACAGCACCGTGGTTACTGGCCGCTAGGAAGCGGAGGCGGGTCCCGGTTCCCGCCTCTGCCACGGGTCTGCCTCGGGGCACTGCTGCCCTCTGGTCGGCAGTGGTGAGCTCGCACTGCGGGCGTTTCTGTGTAAATGGCATGCACTCTGGGTTGTGTGTTCACAGGGCCCTTTGCCTAACACGTGTGGTCACTTTTGGGAGATGGTCTGGGAGCAGAAGAGCAGGGGCGTGGTCATGCTCAACAGAGTGATGGAGAAGGGATCGGTAAGTCGCACACTCACCTGCTTTTGTATCATTCTGCCTGTGTGTCTGTCCTAGCGGCAATAGTTTGTCTGTTTATCCCTCTGAGTTGCTTTTAGATGTCTTCAAACTGTTTTATTTTAAAAAAAATTAAAGAGGCATCATATAAATACATGTTTATTGTAAACAAGTCAGATAAATAAGTGAATTAACAAGATGGCCAAAAGTGAAATTGCCCTGTCCCCCCACTCCCCCTCCGTCAGTGAGTCAGTCTTTCTCCAGAGTTTGTCGTGTTTGCCTGCCTCACCCTCCCCACTGGTCCCTGCGCTGCTGCCCGAGCCTCATGGAGCTGCGGAAGCGTCGTTTCATCTTGAAAGGCCGGTGTCCGCCGTGTCTTGACGTCAGCCCTTCTGGCTGCGGGCGCAGCTGGACTCGGGACTTGCCTCCATGAAATCCCAGCCGCTTGGCGTCCGGGGACACTCTTCAATGCGGCCGTGGTCTGCTTCTGCGTTTGCTGCGGGATCTGCGGCACCCTTACTTCCATGTTCTTTGCAACTCTGAAAACATCCCTCAGGGTGGCCGGGGGACTAGAGGTGTCTGTTTACCAGGCCATCACCCCCGGGCGTCTGTCTCTTAGGCCACACGCCCACCCCTCTTTCTGTTCTGACCTTGCATCAGGATGACCTTTCTACGCCCAGTCTCGCCACACCTCTTCCCAGCCGAAAACCCTTCCGGGGCTCCCCTGCCTCCCAGTAATATGTAAGGCGGTTGGTTGTAGGGTCGAACATGGCACCAACTGTGGTCAGGCCCTCATTAACCTGGACCCTACTGTCCCACCTCCACCTCCAAACTCCAGTCTGAACAAACTTTTGCTTTGTTTAAGTGTTCTGCCATCTTGCCATATTCTCTGGAAGAAGGAGCTGAATCAGTGCCCACCCTCACACCACTTCCAGGCGTCCTCAGATCCCTTCCCCTCCTGGTCAGCCGTGGCTTGTGCTGCCTCTGCGTGAGAATGCCCACCTGCCCGGCACAAGGGTGGCATTCAGCACAGCAAACAGATGCCACATCCCCGCCCCCTGGGCCTTTGTCTCCTCCCCCGACACCGCCAGCTCAGCTGGGGCTCTCCAGCCTCAGAGATGAGGCCCCAGGAGAAGGTGAGCTGAGGATTCTAGAGACCTACACGGATGGGCGCCCGGGAGCAGGAAACTGGTGTGCCCGGCCCGGCCAGGTGCCGGCGCCGTGCTCCCTGGGGCTCAGCGGGCCCTGCTCTCACGCTCTCCGGCCACCGTGGGATGCAGACGCGGCTTGCCAGAGGGACGGGAGGGCTCCCAAGAAGCCACCCTCCAAAGAAAGCACAGTCATGGGCCCCCAGGGTAGAAGCAAAGTGCACGGAGGCAGCACATCAAAGGCAACTTCAGCAGTGCAAACAGGAGGCACTTACCACAAAGGCTCTTTGCACACCGCCACCCCCCCGCAAGAGAAAGGGTCTCAGTTACTCACAGCCAATAGTCCCCTTACCAAAGCATATGTTTAAAATCATGTATTTTGCCTTGGTCCCCAATTCTTAAAAGAAAGTATTTGCTCAGTAATAATGAAGTGCTTACCTGAGTGTTGAAATTGATTAAATAATACCTCTTAGAAAATTTTTTTCAGTGAAAGTGATTTTTAATTTTTTTCCTGCTTCAGTGGCTCGATTAGTAAAATGTGAAGTTGCAAATGTGCAGCAAACCCCCACCTGTCACCACTCCTGTCAGCAATTTTGAATAAAGAAACAAAACATTAGGTTTCCATAGCACACCCTCTCCGCAAGGGAAAGTGAAACGCGGTGGCCTCTGCGGGCGCTCAGCGCGCACCGGCGCCCGGGGTCTCCCGGGGTCTCCCAGCCCGGGCGTGCCTGCATCTGGGCAGGTGTGTCTCCGGTCCCCACCCACTAGATGCGTCTGCTCCCAGGTGTGGCCCCCCAAAATGCCTCTAGACAGACACTGTCATCTGTCCCCAGGGAGGCAGAATTGTCCCTGGTTGACTGTTCTAGATGATGTTAAGGGTTGGGAGTTTTAAATGAAGACTTTTTCATTCAAAATCATCAGATGTGTAGTGTTTGTTTTTCATTTATTTGTTGCTAAAAGTTCTGGTAAAAACCTCTGTTGTTTGCACACGGTTTGCTTCAGCCGCTGTTGTCACGGTGCAACAGGAGCCACGTCCCGGCACTGCGGTGACGTGTTCGTCACCAGGCCTTGCTCTTGGTTGTGTCCCACCCGAGGCTGACCCCAAACGGACTGTAGAACCACTGCAACAGCGTTTCCCTCGGCTTGCCGTGTTGGCCGTTACGGAAACAGGACTGGCTGGTTGTGCTGTGGTTACTGAGATAGCGTGGCGGTAGTCCCTGTTTTCCTTTATAACCGTTCTGTTCACTCGGGGTCGTCGGGGCATGAAAATTGGCATGACAAACAGCATGTGATCTGACGTTTTCAATTCGGCCTCAACATTATCACCCCCATGGGGCTGACTGGGAAAAATTATAAGAAGAAACAATGTCTTATTTGCTCAGCTAATCTAATTATAAACTATCCTCACGGCCCCGGCCTGTGGTAAAACCAGCTTGCAGAGTGTTTCCATCTAATGTATATTTGTTTTCTGGTTTCCTTCCTCCACCGAGTAGTGTAGGATGTTCTCTTCTTGTTCTTGGCAGCCCTGCCTGTTCCCCTGCGGGGGCCCCGTGCCTCCTGGAAAACAGCGTGCAGACGACGGTTGTGCGTGTCAGACCGCGGGTGTCCCGGGGGCCGCAGGCCTCGGTGGGCTGATTTCAGCCTGGCTTGAGGGGCGTCATTTTGGAACTCGCTGTGCACGTCAGGGCGGAGATTGTCCTTGAGGCAGGGGACATGGACAGGGCGAGGTCACCTCGCTGTTCCAGAAGTATGACCCCTGTCTCTCTCCTGAAGTCCCGTTAACGATGCTGTTTGGTGTCAGGGGCCTCTGTGCCCCGTGCACCGCTCGCACTCCGCCCGGTTCTCCGTGTTCGCCGTTCTTCGGGGAAGCCCCAGCGCCCGTGACGGGGCCGCCCGGGTGCCTCCCACCGGTGTTCCCTCAGACTGCCCGGCTGTTCGGTGTGGACGGTCCCGGGGACTCTCTCCCCCTCTCCCGTCGCCCCCATGACCGCAGGACAGCGCTGCCACACGGCTGCTCGGTGCCGCCCCAGGCCTCGGTTCGAGTCCTGGCGGAGGACTGCTTTCCAGCTAAACCCCCTCCAGCCAGCACATACCACTTTAATAGGATAACAGGAAGCAGCGAGCTTGTGCTTTTTTTTTTATCTTGGTTTTATTTTGTGTGTTTAAGACAAAAATTTCTACAGGAAATGACAGAGCAGAGTGTGGCATGTTACTATAGATGCCTCAGAGTTTTCACAAATAAACTTGGTTCGATTGGCTCAGAGCTGCCAGAATTCCTTGGTTGTAGAGTGCCACGGTCTTGGTCTTCCCCCAGACGGCAGAGATTTATTAGGCTTTACGTTTGATATTGAAAGTGAGTGCTTGCTCTGTGGAGGCGAGATTTAGAAATCCATCTGCCCTGCCCGTGGGACATGAAAACGTCGGCCTCTTCCTTGGTGGCCGCCGGCCGCTCTGTGTCTCGGCCGCTTTGCCCTGCTCTCGTTCCCCTTGCCGCACTGGGTGCCCTACTGGGCAATCTCTTGGTTTCTGGGGTCTTAAGGAATTATGCAGGTCTAATTCTTTAAAGATTGGGAATAGATGTATCCTTTAAAGGTCTTCTAGAGCCTCATTTTCAGCTGCCCCGCCTACTTTGGCTAAACAAGGAGGCTTGCCATGTCGTTAGTGCTCCGGTGTCCTGAGTGGCAGAGCTGCCTCGGTGCTGGCCGATCGGCCCCATCCCAGGGCCTCACTCGTCTCTGGCAGCTCATCACCCAGGTGTGGAGTGGGCTGCCATGGGTAAAACTGGCCAAGACTTTCAAACAGGCCTGTGTCCACGCTCTTCAGAAAGCCCCGTTAGCCTCCTGTTTGGGGACCGCAGAGTTGGATGTTATGTTGGCATCACGTGCTGGTGTTTCTCGATTGGTTTCTGTTTCTGTTTGGTTCTGGGGTAGAGTGCAGATGCAGCAGAGCAGGATCAGCGGGCGTTTGTTGTTCTGTGTTCACCCTCCAGAGCCTCCCGGCTCCTCCGCGCCCAGGTGATGCCGTGGGTTCCCAGGCCGCTGCCAGAGTCGTGATCTGGGCCCCGCTGGCCCCGTCTCCCACTGCTGCTCTGAGGAGGGCTTCTTTGTAGTCAGTGCCTAGGAAGTCGCAGCCACCCTTCCAAACATGCCTCTTCCGAGCCTGCCTCTTCCGTCGAGCCCTGCCTGATCCCTTTCCCGTAGCCCCGGCCAGCCCGGAACGCTCACCTCTTCTGAGTGCCCGTGGCACACGCTCAGCGGTTCCCCCGCTGCACTTCCCTCGGGCCGCCTCGTCACTGCGAGCATGGACAATCTGTCCTGACAGACTGTTGGCCCCGGAGGGACTCCCACCACTTACTGTGGCATTTCAGACACAATCATCCTTTGCCTCGGAGGTGGCGAGTGGGCGAATGCATGTTGAATCACAAGTGTCTTGGTATGTACCATTTCCCAAAGGGCTATTTACACACACTGGTGTTTCACTTGATGGAAGACACAGTGTCTTTCAGGTTCCCTCTGCTTAGGCAGATTGCCAGTCCTGCTGGCTCAGAGATCTTGCAGCTTAGCCCCCATCCACCGGCTGTTTGGTCCAGAACAGTTATTACCAAGCAGAAATGGTAGATGGCTGGTGCAGAAATTTAGCTCCGGCAAAGTATGCCATAAAATTTGAGTCATTTTTATTTTTAAGTTCTAAATGGAACCAACTCTTTGGGAGTTTGCTGGCTTTAAAGTTAATGTTGCATTTAAACCAAGACCATCAAGTAGTTTCTGAAGTTATTAAGCTAGAACATCAGAAGTACTTTTCGGAACAGAACCAAACCAGAATGAACGGGCGGACCAGGCAGCGCGTGGTCCCAGGCCCTGGAGGAGCCCCTGTCCCGGCCTTCGCTCAGTGCTTCCCACTCGATCCCAGCCCTTCAGCCTCTCCGAGTGTTTCACGTGGAGTCTCTCCTGGCCCTGTTTTTAATTAGCCTGTTATTTCCCCCAGGGTAGAGCGTCTTCACTGTGCCAACAGCACTGATCAGATTCTTGGCAGTCTTTGAAATGGCTCCATAAAGTACTTTGTGAGGGTCTAAAGCTTTTGTGCACTATGGCTTCCCCTGGTGGGTGATAGGGAAGGGAAGGGTCTGACCCCCGAAACACTCCGTTGTACGGGTTCCCAGGGAGCTGCTGGGTTTGGAAGTCTGCTCCCCGCCTGCATGACCAGCCCTGGCCAGCCGGATCTTCACGGACGCCCGCCTCCCCAAAGGGAAGGCAGGTTATGCGGGTGGTGACTTCCCAGGTCAGGACCCTCAGGTGGCCTGTGGGTTGTCATAAAGCTCATCGAAGGGACTTCGAACCGTCTGTCCTAGGAAAATAGTCTGTTGCTCACGATAATTTGGTGTTATTTTTCTCCCCTAGTTAAAATGTGCACAGTATTGGCCACAAAAAGAAGAAAAAGAAATGGTTTTCGAAGACACAAATTTGAAGTTAACGCTGATCTCTGAAGATATTAAGTCATATTATACAGTGCGACAGCTGGAGTTAGAGAACCTCACGGTGAGTGCGGCGTGCACCGCAGCACTTGCGGCGGCTACCAGTTGAGGTGCCTTTGCCTGTGGGTGGCGTTACCTAGGCCAGTTTGTGTGGATTTTGTGTTCCCTGGGCAAAATGTGGCTTTGGCATTGTGGCAAGCAGAGCTTCCCTGCTTCCTCACCCAGTGAACAGGGGTGCCTCCGGCGCAGGGGGAGGTGGTCAGAGGCTCCTCCTTTCCCGCGGGACACACGCACTCTCTCAACTTTAACACTAGGGGGCGCTGGCTTGGGGGAGGGAAAGGGAGTTTCTTGCCTGAAGCTTATCTATCCCTGTCTTTGCCATCGCAAAGGGATTGAGGGGGCGGCCTGCAAAGTAAATCCCAGCAGAGCACGCTGCCTCCTTTCCTGGTCCACAGTCTCTTTCTTCCGAAGCAAGGGGGAGGGGCCCTTCTGGGGCCGAGCCCGGTTTCATAGCCAGTGTAAGTTTTCTAGGTAAGGTCTTGGGGGTATTCGTTGTGCGAAGAATTGCTAACACCAACTGCTGGCTGTTACTGAAAGATGGTGCTGGGACATGGCAAGGCACGTGCTCAGAAGCAGCGCCACCGTGGCCCCTGCCCCCGAGGGTTCGGGATTACTCACCTGGGCCACCACCCCGAGGAGCCCATAGCTCAAGGCAGCTCCTGGGGACCCCTCAGCCATGGTGGTCAGCCAACTGTCAGACTCCGGGCAGGGGCGCATGGCCCGCCGTGTCTGTTTCCTCTGCTGTCAGTGTGGAGGAGGCAACACATGCGAAGCGCCAGAGCAGCATCGGCCCAGCACCTGTGCTCAGGAAGGGTTCGCGGTGCGGGGGTGGAGAGTCACATGGGATCACTCGAGGAGCAGTACAGGGGGCCAGTCTGAAGTAGAGTGGGGGCGGCAACCGCACGGATTGGGTGTGCGGGGCAGGGCGGAGGGGGAGGATCTGCTCTGGAGTCACGTTCGCAGCTGGGGTGCTTCGTGGTCTCCGAGACCCCTGCTGTTGAACGGATCCCAGCGGTCGGATCTAGAGCTCAGCACAGGTCACTGCGACGCAGAGAACAGGTTAAATCTTGTGGCTTTTGAGGAATGTGGCAGTGTGGCTTCTCTGGGTACTGTCTCTCCTCCCCTTCCAATAGCGCCAGCCGTGAGCCCTGCCGTGGCCTGCCGTAGATTTATGGAGAGGGTTGAGGGAGGGTTTTCAGGAATAGTGTTGGCAGTGAGTTGGAATGTGCCTGGAGGATTATGCAGGAGACTTTTTAATGCTTTTTAGCATTTGCAAGGCTGACATAGTAAGAGTGACTTCTGGTAAACTCTTGAGAATACTTCTCCTGCTTGTCGGGGGAATGGAGTCTGGGCGGGGCAGAAGGGTGTGTGCTGTGGTGCAGAAGCCGCGTGCGTGCTCAGAGGCCCTGCCGCTCGCGCGGGGGACCCGTCTGCACAGGCCCAGAGCGGGTTTCTCGGGAGAGGCGGGCCGGCTCGAGGCAGGGTGTGAATAAGAGGTAATCCCCGCTGTCTTCAGGATTAAAGGAAAGAACTCACTTTTGACGTGTTTTCTTCTCACTCGGTTTTTAAAATATATCTTTAAGTGTTGTTCTTTCCCTAAAAAATAGAAGAGGCATTTCTCTGCTAAGGCATTAAGGTGTCAGGAGATCATTTTCCAGGGAGGGAGGAGTGGAATGCTGAGTACATTCTGTAGACGACCCTAGGTCAGAGGCAGATGTCTCCCGGGTCTGCGGCAAGGTGCCGGTGTGTGCGGTCGCTGGTGCAGCGGTGCCTGCGGGTGGTGCGCTCCGATTCTGGGTCACTGGTGTTTGTTGTGGTCTTTTCGCACGTTCCCATCACACAGGGTCGGGGGAAGTTGTTACAACTAGGCCGTAAGCGCTGGGAGGGCGAGAGCGGTGTCTTTACCTCATGTGCCCGGCATGGGGGCCGGCACAAGGTGGACACATTGTGGACATTTGCCAAACGGAGGAAGACGGTGTTGGTGAGCGGGTCTCTGGCCCGAAGCCGTTCTCCATCAGCTGCTCTCCAGGTGACCAAGGTCCTGCCGTGGCCCTTGGCGCCGCTTAGGAGGAGACCCTCATGGCTGGCGAGGTTCCTGTAAACCTTCCTGTGCCCGCTGTAGCAAGGCCTTGCCTACCCAGCGCCTGGTTCCCATTTATTCTGCCTGTAGCCTAGTAAAGCTCTTGAGCGCTCTCTCCCCACTGAGAACTGCATTTTGATCGTTGTTGCTGGGGCCCAGGTGTCCACTCTGGGAGTGACTCTCCCAGGCCCAGAGGAAGGAGCCGAGCTGGGGGCAGCACCAGAGGCCGTTCTCCTCCCAGGAGCAGACCGGGTGGGGGGCGGGGGCAAACACTGGGACACGGGCTCTGGAGTCAAGCAGACCTAGACTGAAACTCCTGCTCCCCCACTTCATGGAGGGCTGGCCCCGAGCCTGTCTCCTAATCTGGAAAAGGGGGGTCATGGGGGTACATTCCTAGAAGGGCTGGTGTGAGAGCTCAGTGAGCTGATGCTCTTGGTTACTTTTCTCTCTAAAATGACAACCGTCTGAGACATCCACATAGTCTTGTACAGCTCCGAGTTACCCAGAGCTGCTGCCACGTCCACACAGTGTACGATTTCACTCTTGTGTGTGAAACCTTGTGCTGCCTTACGGCGCGGTTGTCGTGGGCAGCAGTGCAACAGCATTGGGGGGCAGAGAGGAATCAGCTGGAACCATGAAGACGACAAAAGGGGGGGCCTAGAGAAAAGAGGCGGGCGAGACTGTTGCATCCTGAAGGAAACGAAGGCGGAACGGGAGCGGCCCTCGGTCCAGCAAGAGCACGGGGCCCAGCACACACTGCGGTGCTCGTTAATTGTAGGCGTGGGGGGCGGGGCGCATGGCCCGAGGGAGAGAATCTGAGAAGTAAAGCTGCTCTTCCAGTGAATGGGTGGAAAGCCACTTCGTGCTTACTTGGAATCTGTGATTTCTGTACAGAGTGTTCTCTTGGAGTCGTCACGCGTGTTCTTCTCTTTCAGACTAAAGAAACTCGAGAGATCCTGCATTTCCACTATACCACGTGGCCTGACTTCGGGGTCCCCGAATCGCCAGCCTCGTTCCTGAACTTTCTGTTCAAAGTCCGCGAGTCGGGGTCGCTCAGCACAGAGCACGGCCCCGTCGTGGTGCACTGCAGCGCCGGCATCGGCAGGTCGGGGACCTTCTGTCTTGCCGACACCTGTCTCTTGCTGGTAAGGGGCCCGCAGACCTGGGGAAGAGCCGGGGCCGCGTGGGAGCCTCTGCTCTGGCCTGGCCACCGCGCCTCTGGGCTCGTCTCCGCAGTCAGTGACCTTCGGTCTTCCCTTTCCGCAACGTCCCTTCCGTAAAAATAGCTTTACCCTAAATAGCTCTGTTAGGAGGAATGTTCTTAATTTTAAAGTGAAATCCAGAGAGATCCCAGAAATCCCCGTCTTTCCTTCCTTCCTGTGTGCTCACGTGGCCCCGGCTTTGCCGCAGGGCCTCACGTTTCCCAGGGTTCCGCCCTCCCCGCGCGGTCGTTCCCCGGCGGGCACTGGCAAGTCGGGGCCGGCTCAGCTGTGTCCCCTCTCTGCTTGCAGATGGACAAAAGGAAAGACCCCTCTTCGGTTGACATCAAGAAGGTCCTGTTGGAAATGAGGAAGTTTCGGATGGGACTGATCCAGACGGCAGACCAGCTCCGTTTCTCCTACCTGGCTGTGATCGAAGGTGCCAAATACATCATGGGCGACTCCTCGGTCCAGGTCAGCACTGCGCGCGCTCCCAGCCGGGCGTGCTGGGTCCCGACCTTCGTCTCTGAAGAAGGGACCCGGCTGCCAGGTGTAAAATTCAGGTGCTGTCTCGTGCCAGAGCAAGTAGCTGTCCTGGTGTGCAAACAGTTAGAAAGTTGCGGCAGTTTTCACCAGGTTCTAGTTCTGCCTTTGAAGAGCTCACGTGGAGAGCAGTGAGGGGGAGAACAGAGTTTATTTTTAGGACTCCCTCTTCGAGGGTGTGTCCGGGCCCGAGGAGCAGAGGGAGGGTGCCTGCGCCCTGCAGGGGACCGGGTTTCCTGACGGAGCGCTCAGTGCGGACGCTGATGGGCCCCCTCTCGCTGCTTTCTCCAGGAGCAGTGGAAGGAGCTCTCCCACGAGGACCTGGAGCCCCCGCCCGAGCATGTCCCCCCACCGCCCCGGCCTCCCAAACGCATCCTGGAGCCACACAATGGGAAGTGCAAGGAGTTCTTCCCAAACCACCAGTGGGTAAAGGATGAGTCCGAGGAGGATAAAGAGGATGGCCCCATCAAGGAAGAAACCCGAACCCCCTTAAGTGTCCCCTGCAGCCTGGACAGGTAATGTGAGAGGGTCCCGGCTTGCTGGGGCTGAGGAGAAACGGGCTTCTGTTCAGAAGCAAGTGTTGGTGTTGAAGCTCCGTGGGCGCAGCCTTCTGTTAGTCAGCACACACAGCGCCCTTGTGTCGAGGGGAATGGGGCCCCTGGACCGACCGTCCGGCTCCCCCGCTGGCTGGCCCAGCCCAGGCACTGAGCCGCAGGTTTGCCCTGGGAAGCGCCCAGCTTCAGTGGGTGTCTAGCACCACCTTGTGGTGCTCGCTGGAATCAGGAGTTCAGCCTGCTGGGAGTCTTCCTGCCCAGTGAGGACAGTGCCCTCCCGCAGGCTTCCGGCCTGTCCTGAAACGGGATGTCCAGGCTGGACCGTGTGCCTTCAGCCCCCAAAATGGCCCTTTGGGAACTTAACCTATGGTGTAGTCTTGACCAAGTAGATTGCTAGTTTGCTTCCCTAGAGTGTGACAAAGGTTACCAAGAACGTATTGATGCACATGAAATTCTGAGATTACTAGAATATAGCTCCTGGTCTCTGCTCCAGCCCCTGTTGTTGGGAGGGAGGGAGCAGTTGCAGTGGGAGCCTGTGGCCAGGAATGTGGTGGAGGTACACGCTGAGGTGGTCAGCCTTACAGAAGAGACACTCAGTCTTCCCTGGGTGGTCAGGGAAGGCTGCCTGCAGGAGGTGGCACCGTGTGGAAGCTTGAAGAGTGACTGAGAGTTAGCTCCAGCCTGAGACTGTGGAGGCATGCCTGTGGTGCCTGCTTTTGGGGGACAGTTGAAAACGGGCGCACATTTGGACCGAGTGTGTGCGTGCGGCACTTCTCAGACAGGTGTGCGGAGAGACATGTGGAAGAGGTGCTTATTGTAGCACCTTCGGTAATGGTGGAGGATTGGAGATGAGTCAGCCACATGCCCAGGGATTACATAAACCCTTCTCCCCTCGTGTTGGGATGCTCTGTGGCTGTCCAAACAGCGGGGCCTGGCTGCATGGGTGTGGCCGGCCATTGGAGTGGCAGTATGTGAGAACGTGAGTTCCACTGTTTCCCGCACAGGGTCCTCCGGTTAAATTGGTCATCAGCCTCTCACCCAAGCACCTTGCTAAATGCTGATTGCCAGGCCCTGCTCTGATTCATGAACCTGAATCCACAGGGTCCTTCGTGCAGCTGGTCCTTGCTGCCCCTCAGCGACACTGCCCACCCTCCCAGGGCCTCTGGTGACGTTCTCAGGGTGGCCAGTGCACTCCATCGAGGGCTCACGGGGGGCCGAGGCTGAGAGACACTGGCTGCAAATGGCTTACGTCTCATCCACATCGTGTGTTCTGTTTTCTGTATTCGGGGAGACTTATGGCAAGAACAGTGCCTTTCACACCGTGGTGTGTGAAGGCGGCATGTAAGGAAGTGTGTCTGTGGGAAGCTAGAAGCACAGAGCTCTAGGGACAAAGGGAGTTGTACCAGAGCATGAGCGCTGCTGGGCGCCAGTTGGAGCCCATGTGCCCACGGTCCCCAGCGCAGCAGCCAGCCAGCGCCTGGCAGGGCGGGCGCCGAAACCCAAGTGCTCCCAGAGGCCGCCTCCTGTCTCGGGGCCGGTGCTGCCTCGGTGGCCGTGCCAGGCTGGCCGCACGCGGGCTCGCGCGCCTCTGCTGGCTCTCCTGAGACAGCCCTGGGGCGAGAGCATTGCACATGGCCCCCCCGCCGTCACTGCTGCTCGCCACCGGGAAGGCGGCGTGCTGACCGCATCCAGAGTGCCTGGGGATTGTCCTCGGGCAGGATCGGAGCGGTGCTGGGGGTCCGGGCCGGGGGCGGGGTGGGGCGGGCACGTGTGGTGTCTTCCCGTCAGCATGACGCAGGCCCTGTGGGTCGGCATCTGTGGGGCGCCCTGGGAGGGCGTGGGAGCAGGTGGGGGCCCCCCCCACCCCCCCGTCTCCCTTCCTGATCTGAAAGGGAACGGCGCACAGCAGACTCCGGGGCAAAGTCAGCACCTGTCACTACAGCGGTGGCTGTAGGTCTCCTCAGCCCCATGCCCACCTGCCGTCACTGAGGAGTCCGCAGGTCTCCAGACCCCTGCCCTGGCTGTGAGGGTGGCCTGGACCCCTGGGGGAGGCGGTGACAAGTGGGTGTTGACCAGCATCCGCATCGCTAAACTGTTTACATGTGGCTCATTTCTTCCCGGGAGTCCCCTCATTATAGCGTCTTTGCCACTGTCGTCCTCAGAGCGAGTAACCCATCTCTGCCCTCCCCCCACTCCTCAGCACGAGTCAAGACACTGAAGTCAGAAGGCGGGCCACCGGGGCAGGTCCTACCCAGGGGGAGCCGTCGCCACCTACGGAGGAGCAGGACCAGGCGCTGACTCACTGGAAGCCCTTCCTGGTGAACGTGTGCATGGCCACGGTCCTCACGGCCGGCGCGTACCTCTGCTACCGGGTGTGTTTCCACTGACGGCCGTGCCGGCCGGGCTGCGAGCACGGGGAGCACTGGCCAGCAGCCCGGCCTCGGCGTCCGGGGCTGCGGGGGGTCTGAGCCAGTCTCGGGAGACACGGATCAAGGCGTGGAGTCTGGAACTGTGAAGGGCTAACAAGAGACAACTGAGGATTGATGCACTGGGGTTTTAAGGAGCCCTGTGGTCCCAAGAACACAAGCATCCAATCTCAGGGCCTTAACCTATTCAGGATTACGTAGAGAATATGCCAAATACATCTGTCTCTCTTTCTCTCTCTCTCTCTTTTGTTTTTGTTTTTTTTTTATTTGTTTGTTCGTTTGTTTGTTTTTGAAAAAAGTACAATTACAACACATTGTTGTTTTTAACCTTTATAAAAAGCAGCTTTTTGTTATTTCTGGGAAACAAAAAAAAAGACTAGGCATTTGGGAAACTTCCCTACACCCTTAGGTGGTGTGATCCGATACACAGTTTCTGTCTGATTTCCCAGGGCAGGACTCCCCCGCGCTGAGGGACGCGGAGTCCTCTGGAGAGGACGGCGTGAGGGTTTGGGGCGCTGTCTTGCTCAGTCACTTCCTCTGCTGCGCGCGTACTGAGCTTGGGAGGTTCCTGCCGGCTTTCCCGGCTTTCGAAGGAGAAACAGCAAAAGGCCATCTCTGGAGAACAACACCTGCTGTGCTTTCGCTCAGGGTGTCCCCGCTGGTTTCCCATCACGCACTTCTCCATCGGTCCCTTCTTACTGCCCCCTTCTTGCCATGTCCCGCCCTCAGCAGCCATCCTCCAAAGCGGGGTTCCTCGAGCCCCCTGCCTCCGGGACAGAGGTCCCCCTTCTCACCCCGCCACTGCGGTCCAGAAGGAGCCGGTTCCTGTGTGGTTTGGAGTGGAAATGCGCACCCAAGAGGTGGGTCGCTGTTCAAGTAAGGGGAAGGGACCCAGACGGCTTCAAAACCGTGTTCGTGGGAGTCACCCCCCGAGACTTCCTCATTTCAAAATTTTACCTCTTTTCAAGCAGCCACCTCTGAGTGCATCGGGTGGTTGAACAACACACAGTTTTTCCCTTAGGGATGATTTTTAGAAGGGGCAGGGGCTGTTATGAAAAAGAAATCGAAGGCCCTTCCACCGGAGTGTCCGGGGAGGGGGTCTGGGGGAGGCCGGGTCAGCGCCAGGCCCGCAGCTCTGCCGGCCGGGTCCGGGCTCGACGGGAAGTGTCCGCTTTCATCCCACTGTCTGTCCAGCAACAACTCACAGCCCGGCCCCCTCCGCCCCACTGCCAGCCTCCGCTCACGGAGCCCGCCCCGGCGAGCAGGCGGGCCGGGGGCGGGGAGGGCCTCTGCCCCGCACTAAAGCTGCGCTCCCGGCTGTCGGTCTTCCTCCTTTTTCTTTTACGTCTCCCCCCCTCCTCTGAGCACCAAATCCACAACCCAGTTTTTGAGGAGAGCAAAAGAGAGGGCCATGCTGGCGGCACACAGGAAGGGCGGCCCGTGCGCGCCCCAGGCGGGCGGCACGCGGCACCTCCCGGTGGACTCCGCGGGGGCGGTATGCCAGGAGCCTCTCCACTCCGTATTTATTTATTTTTTATTTTCCCCCCAGAGGTGTCTTTAGTGCATTTTCTTAAACCAATAATGTATTAGAGTTTTTTGATGTCAGCCTTGCATCAAAGGCTTTCTCAAAAAATACAATAATAAACCCTCAGGTAGTGCTGGGAGCGTGGGACCTTGCAGTGCGCCTGCCGCGTCGGGCCAGTGCTAGGACGGTGGGCGGCCGTGAGCAGTGGCTGTTCGGTGACACTGCGGGCGACGTGAGAGGAGGCTTGGCCTGTGTTTGCGGAGCAGTGGGATAATGTATAGCGAACACTTGGATATTCACCATACAGGACGGGGGAGGACTCGGCCCGGTTACCCCCCCCCGCCCCCCCGCCAGCTTTACCTGCTAGACCCTTGCCCTCCGCCCCACTTTCCCCGCGTGTACCAGAATGCATGTTCAGTCTTCTCGTGCCCTGGCCGGGTGCCGCGTGCTCGGCGTGCTGGGATCCCTGCTTCCTGAGGTGCCCTCGTGTGTAAGTCCAGTCCGCCCTTGCGTGACCAGACTGCTGCGTGGCTGTGGCTCCTAGGGCCAGCGCCGAACTGCTTGCTGTTCAGCACCGGAGGGATGTTTTCCAGTAACAGATATTCGCCTGATTCCTGGCACGACACTCTGGCGACCTCCTGGTGACGCCCGGCCTGTGCTGGTCCAGCTGGGTCCCCCTGTAACTCGGACATTCCAAAGGGACGGGCAGCCGGAGTCACACCTCACGCTCTGGACATCTAGACAAGCAGGGTCTCCTGCTCACGCACCTTCGGGGTCAGCCTCCTCCATCCCAAGTTCACACTCTCCTCGAGACGACCGTAATGTGGAACTAAGGCAACTGTTGGAAACCACACTTCTTGAAGCATCCTGGATGTGACGGTCCCCTGGAGCCGGCTAGCTGCCGTCACAGCTGGGAGGGCCGTGCTGACCGAGGCGGGCCTGCCCCTGCCCTGGAGCCCTGGGGACCCATGGTGCTCACGACTCTTCCTGCGTGGGGGACTTACGACCTCCACGTTAAGTGGCTTTTTAACGAGAAAAAAGGCAGCTGTCACTCACGAGCTGCCCTTCTGCCAGCATTTTCACATTTTGCCTTTCACGTGTGAGGAGCCCGCGTAGCGCGATTCCGGGGAGGGAACACCCGAGGCAGAGCCCCGCGGAGCCCCGTGAGGTGTGGGTGCGGCCGAGGTGCCAGGCTGTGAGCGTTTTGAGTTGGGCTCGTCTGTCTGTTTCCGAAGTCCTGTACATGTATGTAGTAGTTCGGGTGTGTACATATAGTAGCGTTTCAAAGTGGATGTACTGGTTCGCCCTCCTCCCCTTGGGAAGCAGATGGCCCTCCATCTTGTTACACGTATGTTAGAGAAGTAGCAAGCTGCTCTGCTATATGCCTTAAGCCAATATTTACTCAGCGGGTCATTATTTTTTACAATGGCCATGGAATAAAACATTTTTACAAAAATAAAAACAAACAAAAAAAGCGAGGTGTTTCGGAATGATGCCTTTTCCGGTGTGTGTATCCGTGGCTGCATGACGGGGTGGGGCGGGGGGCGCGTCTCAGGGTCTTCTGTGACCTCGCAGAACTGTCAGACTGCACAGTTGTCCAACTTGCCATATAAATGATGGGTTTGCATTTTAGTTGCAACAATAAAATTTTTTTTTCTAAAGAACATGGATCGGGGTGCTTCTCATTTCTTTGCTTGACGGGCCTAAACCAGGATGCGCAATGCACGCTTCTGTCCACCCGACGAGCGGTGGCGGCTGCCGAGGGAGGCGGTGCACTGCCAGGTCTAAGAGCCACCGGGGCCTCCTGGAGCCGTGGGGCCTGCGGGCTGGGGGTGCCCCCGCCGACCGGGGGCTCCCCGAACATGTTGGGCTGCAGCCCACTGCCTCAACCACAGAACCCACCTTCGGGACGAACGGGCCCTGGGGGTCACTTCGCAGGCTCACAGGCGCTCGAAGAGCTGTTCAGGCCTCAAGGACGCGCGCCTTGGCCCCCTGCCCGCGAGACACGGCGGTTGTCCCCGCATCTCAGTGCCCCCGGGCCGTCCCACTCGCTGTCGGATTCACGTGGAAATAACAAAGTACGAAATGCATGTAGTCTGTCTTTCTTGCACAAAACTATGGGTGAGTCTCCCCTAAGGTGATTTGTTGGCTTCTGGTTTTGAAATAGTTTCAGGCTTGTGAAATGTTGCAAAGAAAGTGCAAAGAGTTCCCTTGTGTCCTTCAAGGTTTTCCAGCTGCCGCTGAGCAAACCGTGCTCTGGCCCCTGGCAGGCTCCACGGGGCTGGGGACAAACATGGCCGCGCTCCCGTGACCACACAGCACGCCGGCGGCAGTCGTCACGCCCACTGTCGTGTCCGTCTTGGTTCCACGCACAAAAAAACCAGCGTCTGAGCTTTTATGAAGCGGCACCTGCCTGGGCGGGGAACAGTGACTACTACGTGTGTGACTGGAACAGACGTCGGGTGGGGCCGAGGCCTCCACGGTGCCTGACAGCAGAGGGCGTATGGAGCTGCCCGGGGTGCAGCGCCCCCTCGCGCCTGCTTCTGGGGGACAACCGCCCTGTGGGGCCGCACTCAGGGGTAGTAGGGACAGCTCTTCCCCCCAGCAGGGTATTTGGGGAAACAGCCACTATTGACTTGTTTCAGGGGGAGTGAAACACCAATAAAAATTGTGGGTGGTTTTTCTTTTTTAATTGGAATTTCAGAGAGTTGAACATATAAACAAGGCAAATAAATACTAAGTCAAGTGGAAAAGCACAAGATATGTACAGGACGTGTAAATGGGAATGTTTAAGTTACAGAGTCCTCCCAGACCGTCGCCGACAGGCAGGGTCAAACCCCAGCCTGCGCCGGCCTTGTGAACACAAACTGCTCGGGACACCCTCGGGTCCTCTAACAGACTTAAATAGGACACTCATTTTCATTCTTTAAAGCAAGGTGCTCGGTGAAATCTTCACACCAGGTTCTGGAGCAATTTACATGACAGGCCCTAAGCTGACTTGCTTCAGAAGTTGAGTTTTGAGTTTCGAGAGGTCGAAGGGAATGAGTGTCCTTCCTGACAGGGCACGAGGCTGCTGCTTCCCTTTCGCTGTCGAACGTGAGGACAGCAAGGTCCGTGCGCGGCAGGCTGCCACCAGGCATTGGCTGTAGCTCTGGTTAAGAGTTGAATCATGGAAGGCCTGGCTGTGTGTGCTCTCCCAGGTCCCCTAGGTGACAGCTGCTGCCATGGGAATGACTCCTTACATCAGTCTCCCCTTAGCAAGCTCACAGGCCTGCCGGCCTCCCCAGCCCCAGTCTTCGTTGAGCCACAAGAGCTGAGCCAGCTGATGTGCAAGGAGACAAGTTCACGTTCACCTTGGAGCCTTTCATTCTGGGCCCCCACCTGCCGGGCCCCGGCTCCTTCGTAGTGCGGCTGGCGCTGCGTCCTGGGGGAGACGGGTTCTCAAAGCCAAAAGCTGACGACAGCTGAGTGGAAGCAGGTCAGCCTTCGACACGCGGCGTCCCCCTTTGTTGCGCTTGGACACCGAAGCCCCACTTGCGCCCTGGGGCCTTGTAACCGACTCTGGGCAGCTTACCCTGCAGGGGCGCACACCGGGTGCCCCTGCCCCGTCCACAGCCCAGTCCCCGTGTGGGGACGGCAGCAGCAGAAACGAAGACGCCAGGTTTGAGTTCACCGGCTGAGGCTCTTTAAAATACCGTGATTTCCACATCTGCCTCCTGGCCAAAGGCCGCTTCTCTCTGTTCCGAGTAAAGTCTGTCCATCTTCTCAAAGGCGAAGCGTCCTTTCTCACCTGCAATGGGAAGGGGGTTTGTCACAGGATTGTCCCCGGCCTCGGTGTGTCCTGCTCTGCTAGGCCAAGGTGGCCTCAGCAGTTACTGACACCTGGGTGTCAGGTGCTGCTGAATGGGGGGCGGGGGGGGGGGGCAGGGGCGTCTGGGGGACTCCTAACCGGCCGACTAGTGCCTCGCCCCTGCATCTAAGACGGAGTCACGTCCCTTGCATCCGCTTCCATTCTCGAGAAACATGAAGGAAATGAAGTGTTTTTGCCACCTGAACCATGAAGAAAACCTGCCTCGGCCGAATGCAGTTAAACGGATTGCTCACTGCCCATCCCGTGTGCTAATTCGTGTCTTTTGAGAGCTGGCCGTGGCGGCTCTAACCCAACCTCGCTAAGGACCCGGGCCCCCCACCGCACTGCACAAGACGTCCGGCGCGACCTCACCGAATGACAGCGTGGCTTCCCGGGCGGCCGCTCGCACGGCCTCCAGGTCGGACTGGCACAGGCCGGCGATCTGGTCGATGCTCTCGACACCCTGCTTGTGGAGAGAGGAGGATCCATTAGGGGCACTTTGAGTGGCAGGTGGAATCCACGTGGGTAAGCCCTGCAGGACCAGCCCAGCGTCGTCTCTAGGGCCCGAGCCCCTTTGCTGAAGGCTGCTGGGTTGCTTATGTTGCCTCGGGTTCATCAGAAGCCCCATTGCAAATGTCTCATGTTTGCAGTCTGGACGCCCGCCAGCAAGCAGGCCCTAGCAATGATGTACAGACCAGCGAAAGGCCCACCTTGAACTGAAAAATGACCTGCTTCCTCCTCCCTGCTTTCCCAACCCAACCCCACTCCAGGTCAGACTAGGGGAGGAGCAGCTGGGCCCCAGTTCAGGCACCCCTGACCCCCAGGCGCCTCTGCAGGGCCCAGGACCAGGGTGCCCTTCAGCGCCCTCTGCTGGACACCCTGGTCCTCTTACTGGTTATTTGATGGTAACCGATGGGCCTAGAATTTCCTGTTGGATCATTCCAGAATGAACGGGGTGAGTTTAATCCATGCGCGACTATTGTCATCTAGTATATTGGCAATCCTTTTTCAAAATGAGAGTTCTAGGTGCAATGAGGTTAAAGCTTTGTGCACAAAAAATGCCCAGAATGGCACTGTGTATAATGAAAAGGATGAACCTCCGTTTTCTACAGGAAGAGAGTAGGGGAGCAGGTTAAGTTAGGGCACACCTGTGGTGGACCCTTCATAAAGAGTTCCAAAGTACTGGCCGTCTAGCACAGGAAGTTCTTACTGGTTCACTGGTGTGAAACTGCATTAAGTTTTGTTGATACCAAACTGTCGATTTTCAGTGCTCGCTCTCACCCACGGACAAGAAATACACCAGGATGTCAGTCGTTTCCTCTGAGTGTCGGGATGATGCATAATTCACATTTCTGTGTTTTTACCACTCTTTTTTTCCCCCTACAATGAGCTTTTAGCTTTTTAAAAAATTCTGGATATTAAAGTACATAATCCGAGGGTTCTGAACTGAGTCCCTGGAGCCCCCCGTCCTCCGCTGGCGGGGCTGGCGGCTGCTCTCCACGACCAGCTCTTCGAGCTCCTGCTTTGGTCTTGGTGGAAGCGGTTTGGAAATGAACTGCCTTGAGCGTTAACCACAAGCAGGCTCCTCCGTCGCCGGCGGGGACAGGCCGGACTCACCCTGAGATGCTTCAGCGCCACGCACGCAGCCTGCTGGAGCCTGGCGTCGTCCTCGGTCAGGGCGTTGGTGTAGAAGAGCAGAGCCTGGGGAACGAGGCTGCTGTGAACGAAGGGGAGGGGGTGCCGAGAGCAGAGTCCCCAGCGCAGCGCTCACGGCTGATCCTGCAGCTGCTGGCAGTAAGCCGGGCCCTCCCCACCTGTTCCTAAACAAGATCAGGCCACGACCCGGTCACCTCCGGGCCAGGGGCACAGTCCCGAGATCTATCCTACGGTACTGAACTTGTCTCTGGAAGCGCTGCTTTTGGGGCTGCTCGTACTCGAATGAAAAGCTCTCTTTGTGTAGTACTGTTGACGAGCTGCATTCTGAAACTGCTCTCTAGAGAAAATGCTAAATCTCATGCCCAGTCCAATGTCCAGCCAGGACAACAAGTGCCGAACACAGACGGAGCCGCCCTCCTCTGCTGCCCCTCGGGCCAGAAGGAAAAGCATCTTTCTTCCCTTCGTCACCCTCTTCCAATCACAGCTCCGCCCCGCCCCCCTCTCCCCCATCACCGGGCCAAGTCCCTTCCCTGGAAAATAAAGCCGGCACTTGCTTCACGAAGCCGTGAGCACGTGGGGATGTGTCTGGCCCTCGGGGAGCCCAAGAGACTATTAGTAAGGCCCTAGCATTGCTTCTCCTCCCACCTCAGGGGCTGGGGCCTTGAATCTAGAATAGTCATAGGTCCGGGAACCTACAAGGCGGAGGAGTCCAAATTTCTTGGTTTTCAAATGGACTGAACACAGCGAGCCAACCAGCCACAGGCATTCGCTGCAAGTGAGTGAGGATGGAACTCTAAGAAAGAAACATCTGCACAGAAGTGACATCTCAGAGGCCCGATAGATAGCGTCGCATTGGGATCCCCGAGGTGAGTGTGGTGGCGTGCGGTTCTGTGGGCTCCTCAGCTGGTGGCCCGGAGCCGCACCCAGCTCTCCCCCCCCCCCCAGGCCGGGTCTGCCAACAGCGACAGCATGAGGAGAGCTGTGTTTGTGTTCGGAGCACCCCCAAATCCAAACACCTCACAGCGAGTGCAACCCCAGTCACTCCCACCTTCGTCTCTCTCCCAGAGAGAAAGCCTCCCTCCCTCCCTCCGCTTCCCCACACCTGCGGCCAGGAGGTGGCCTCCCCCGCCTCATACCATACCTTCTCCCGAAAGC